TCACACACCTTAACTTAAAGACATTAAAGTTCGCAAGCTTCTGTATGCTGTCATTGTTGATATGAAAGATCCTTGTTACAATTGACATTACAATCAGTAGCAACAGTAAACAAAGCGCACTGAAAGTAAAAACAGAAATAGAGTGAAAAATCAATTTCCAAAATAATTGAACCAAAATCCAATAAGACTTCCAAGCTAACTGCAAAATGTTATGTTAATTCCAATTTATTACTTTCTTATTGGTTTCAAATTTAAATGTTAATTACAACTGACAAATATGAGTACATTTAATATATATATGTTTAGTATTATTTTATTGACTTGTGGGTTATTGTTAAATATTTTCAATGTATTACTCACAAAATTTCAAAAGGTAAATTCATTACTACGACACAAACAAAAGTTCTTACACTGGTGGTATTAGCACTGATAAACTTAAAAAATTTTAATGATTAATATTTTATGAAAATGTTGTATCTCCCAATTCGGAATTTTGGATATATTTCATTATTACAATTTTACCTTAAACCATAAATTAAAAGCAAATATAAATTTCCTAAGGTATGGCAATACTGTTATTGTTTTTATTATTTGATTTTGTAACCATTTTCTGCCAACATTTATTTGCCTGCTTTGCCAATGCATGTATTGTTATCGTAATTATAGCGGGAGTTCTGGAGGAAATAGTTGATAAAAATGCAAAACTCGGGGTTCGTAACAAGAAATGCGCAATTAACCGAAGAGGAAAAACGGAATGTTATGCAGCAGTTAGGTGATATTTTTAATTGTTCGCCAAGCCTTCAAATGCGTAACCTTTGTGAATCGCAAGCCTGGAATGGTAATCTAAACAAAAAATACACATTTTCAATGTAGATTTTAAGGTAATAAAATTATTTTATTTCAGTTGACCGGTGCGTCGACTATTTGATAAAAGCTAATAGCAACGGCAATAACGAAAAGCAAAGAAAACTACGTAGTGGGGCAGTTCCAAAACAAAGCATCCCCTTAGCAAATAAGGATACGGTTCAGAACCGTCGGTATAACTCTTTCAAGACCAGTAAAACGCAAAATACATCTAGTTTTGTAGAACTGCGTATTGCTAAGTTGATAAAAGATTGTTCAAAGGTTATGGTGCTTCTTAGAGGCGCACCTGGTAGTGGAAAATCTTCCTTAGCGAAGAGTTTCATAGAAAGATATGTATCAGTCAACGATCAGTACACATCTAGAGATTTCATATTTAGTACCGATGACTTCTTTTACAATTCTTCTGGTGTATTTAAATATCAACCGACACTATTAGATAAAGCTCATGAATTTAATCAACGGCAAGTGGCTGAACGGGCTCAGGCTGGTTGGAGTCCAATTTTTATTGATAACACTAATATAAAGCTATGGGAAATGATGCCTTACGTACAAACTGCTGTAAAAAATGGATATGTTATTGAGATTTTAGAACCTAGAACATCCTGGCGTTATTCAGCGGCCAAACTAGCCGCTAAAAATGAACACGGGGTACCTGTTGAAAAAATAAAGACAATGTTAAATAATTTTGAGAAATGTACAGTGAACGATTTATTAAAGGTAATTAATCAATTTTTTAACATTTACGCCCAAACAAAACCAAATAATTTGTCTTGACAATTATTAATGATGACTAATGATTCAAAAAAAAAAAATGGGTTAAAATATTTAAAAGTGTACGTACGTGATACAAACTGATGGGTTAAAATATGTATACAGCGGATAATCTGAAACTACTATAAACAAATCGGAGTTCCGTTTAAACTGCACATTCGGTACATCAAAGCACAAATGATTATCGCCTTTACCCTTGCAAACATATTGYTACAGGGTATTAAGTTTTGTTCACCTAAGGGTTATATGAATCACCAAGAACTAATGATATATATTTTTTATTAGTATGTGGCATGTTAATAGAAGATAGTTTTGACAAAAATATATAAAATCGGATCGATAAACCCCCAACTCACATTTACTATATACATACATATGTTGGTATTATGTATGTATAATGATTTTCTAACAAACGTTGTGGCGAATATGTTGGCAAGTGTGTGATTTATATATTTGCATATATAATTACATATATTGCTGTAATTCCCAGCCTCTGGTTGACGTTTCGTATCATAGGGTATTTCCCCGGATTTGATTCTTGCAAGTTGCAATAGTCTTAGCCCATCCATACTTGTTGCGATTGATTTTTTTTTTTAATTCTTTATGGAAGGAAAATTAAGAAGATTATAATATAAATAAATATAACCAATTCCTTCGAACATATGTATGTATGTACATCACTTTAAATGTTTCAATTAAATAATATAAGAAATTAAAAACTTCTTCAAATCATCAACTTTATTGTATAATGATTATATTTTATCTCACAGATGCTAAAGACGACAAAATACCAAGTTACATTACCGCAAATACGGTCAATTCCTCCTGTACCGCTTACACAAACAGATGTCGAAACAGACGAAGTGTTTCAAATATACAAATTTGAGAAAAACTATACACAAGGTGACTTCAATACAGTTCCATCAGCTGCTTCCGACAATACCTCCCAACCCGCAAATACACCGAAACCACAAAGGGAGAAATCTAAAAAGAAAAGCTCTACAGCTGAATTAAACTCCCTAAATTTAATTGAAAACAAAAATGAAATGAGCGTAATCAATAATAATGAGTCTGAGGCTTGGCCACCTCATGAACAAGAAATAAACAAATTTTGGAATATGAAACCAAACTTATATGAGAACCACATCCAAGCATCCACACATAAGGAAAAGCAAGAAAAGACTATTTTAGACTTATTACGCGAAGGAGTTTGCGACTCCAATAAACCACAAAGTGGTAAAGAGCAGGAAGAAGGAGATTTAAATCAGAAATCAACATTTGAACGTCATAGTATCGGATGTGAGAACGAAAATAAAGAATTTGCATCTTTACGTCAAATATATCCAAATAAAGAATTGGCCAGTCTTTGGGATTTGTTTGTAAAATGTGGAGGCGATATTGATTGGACAGTCGATCTACTTTTGAGAGAGGACGAGCTCATGACCCCGTCCAGCAGTCTTAATATGGAACAAGTACCTGTTATTGTAGATGACTTCAAATGTAATTGCGCGCTAATACAGGAAAATACTACTGGATCGATATCACCTATACTTACACAAGCTCCGGGACCAGAAACCAAACCACAAAGACAACGATCGCGAGCTACGCGTATGAATCAACGATTAAATCCAGAATTCCAAGAAATATCAGAAGTATTAGCAAATCGTTTTGTACTTGATGGTGAGCAATTTTCTCCACATGTTCGAAAACTGCGTGAAATGCGAGAAAAGCTTCGAAATCCCCCTCAAAAATGCTATGCAAATATGGAAGTTCAGACTGATCCCCTAATCGAAGAGGAAACTGCAGATGACGACGAGTTCAATTCGGAAACAAATGAAATAATTGAGGTAAATCTAGGAGAGAATTTAGTAAAACAACTGAGGCAAATATTCCAAGCTGAGATGACGTCACTATTAGAGAAGCTACCGGATAATCCAGTTTTAAATGTATTTATGCCTCGCTCACTAGCTAAAGAGCTTTACATGCTATGGATAGAATCGGCGTATAATCAGCTTGAAGAACAAAGGCAACAAATAATGAGCGAAGATGCTCATTTTGCCCGCTTGCTAAAAAATCCAAAGTATGAAAATTATAAGGAGTCGCCCGAAAATATTCAGGAGTTACTTGATATGGAATATGCATGGCAAATTTACAAAAATGATCAACAAATAGAAATCCAAAGAACACAACAAATAAAAGAACAATATCAACCAAGCGACTTGGCCTCACACTTAACGCAAATGAAACTATGCGAAACATTTCCAAACATTCCACGAGAAACACTGGTTGAAATTTTAACAGCTCATGATAACAACTACGACGAAACAGTCCAAGTACTTAATAAAACCACTCAGCTCATAGAAGACCATCAAGTTTCAGATTTACATAAGAAATTGGTGGACTGTACCTTAGAAGAGCAAGAAATGGTATTTTTGTTGATATTATATAGTTTTTTCTTTGTAAATCTTTTTATGTTTTACTTTTGTAGATTAAAAATGAACAACAAAATAGCAAAAGCAAAACCAACTTCAGCGAAGCTAATGGAGAGCGTGTTATTAAAGTGCCTCTGCAACCAGAGGAAGCAAAACGAATGGCATTGCATGACTTTGAAGAAATGCGAAACCTAGCAGCACATCATTCTCAGCTAAAAGCAGAATGCTATCAAAAAGCCAAAGAAGCGATGCAAAAGGGATACAGCGCTGTCGCCGTTTATTATTCACAAATTGCCAACTTGCACAAAATGAAATTGGATATGTATAATCATCGTGCAGCCAATTGTATTATGGATGTCCACAAGTATACTCAAAATAACCCAGAACTCTTAGACTTGCATTATTTGCATGTGTTGGAGGCTATCGGTTGTTTGGATATATTTTTAGATCGGCACATTACAGGATTGCGAGCTATCTCTCGTAATTATAAGCACATATTCATAATAACGGGGCGTGGTCTACATAGCACAGGCGGAGTGTCCACAATTAAAAATAAAGTTAAAACTCGTTTAAAAGAGCGTAATCTAAGGTAAGATGATATGATTACACTTATAGAAGTTTACCTTATTTTAATTAAGATTTTCTTGTCTAGGTGGAGTGAAGTAAATCCAGGATTGCTGAAAGTGAAAATATTTTCCGCATCAAAACACTCCAAAAACATTTAATGTTGTCAGGCAGTATGTGAGAAATTCCTAATGCAATCATTCTATATTTTAAACTAAAGTTTTTAATACGTATTTATATGTATTTTATCAATAAGAATGTTACTACGTATAAATATTTTTTTACACATTGTTATGATAAAATAAGCTTTTGTAGAATTATTTAAGAACTCATACATACATGTGCAAAATAAAAATGGTGCTATGTAAAAAAAAAAGTGATTTTTCGTGATACATATCATTCTTTGGAAGATGAAGGTCAGTTGTATTGAACAGAAAATAATCAGTTTTTTGCCTGAATTTGGCTCAAAGTTTACAAATTTTATAACATTTTACATTTACAATTTATACATAAATATATAATGGCACATCAAGTGCTAATTGAGCCCGATAGACAACAAGGCTGCACGCCTACCTACCAATATAATATAAAATTGAAGGCATTTATTAACTTTTTGTTTAATATTTTAGTATTAAAATATGATTAATTATTTATTATTTCGTTATTACATTTTAAAAGATGTAGCATTATATTTTAAAATCATTTTGTACAGCTTCGGTTAACATAGTAATAATTTCATCTACTTTATATTGTTTTGTGGAATGTCTTCACTTAAAGTTAGTTTTCTAACTGCATTAACTGCACCAATATTTGGAACCTGATTTTCCTTAGTACTAAACATCCGATTAATAATAAATTTTTCGAAAAGATTTTCCCGCGTTGTACTGACATTCCGTGCAATACTACCTGCCTTTGGCGGTGTATTTAAGAACACACCTTCAAATATAGTCTCGAGGCTATTACAACGACTTACATCCGCAGTGCATCCTTTATCATCAGCAGGGGGACTTATAAGTGAGTTGATTTCTTCAAGAGTTACAAAATCCGAATTTAAGCCTTCACTGGCGGTAGAATTACGATCTAATTGTGAGAGCCGAGTTGGTGTTCGAAAATCTTCTTCATTGCTGTCTATTGGCGAAGGTGTACGTCCAAGGGGCGAAACAAGTCTAATTTCAAACGCAGGTAGCTCATCACCTAATATAAGTGCATCCAGTTCTTGATCTATTGATGATGAAAATGATAAATCGCCTTCATTTGAGAGAGAGGACTGTGAACGATGAATAGGAGTAGTGTTTATGTGAGATTCAATTATATCCATGCTGGTTCTAATTAGAAGTGCATCGTTTTCCATAAAAAGGTGTTCTAATCATTTAAATTTTTAATTTTATAAAATTTATACAGCGATTTACTGAAATGAATACACAATCAAAAACGCCACTTTCAAATATATATTTGAAAATAGAGGCCATAAAATTTTGCCAACTTTAAATGAATAAGTGCTGCCAGATGCTATTATTACGCCGGCAGTCCAGTGTTTCTTATCTGTGGAATACAATGCTCGCGACAGACAGCAAACGACATCTGTCAAATATTAACATACACACGTTCTTATGGACGGACCTATTTCGACAGCTGCACAACTACACGACTGCAGACCGACAGTTGTCGCTCTCGCTAACTTCAATTTGATCCTATATTTGCCAACGACAGTGATGTGAGGAACACAATGCTCGCGACAGACTGCAGCCGCACGACAGTGAACTGAAAACGGCGTTGTGAATCCTACTACATGAACGTTTGTGAGAGGGCAGCAACATAACAATGGCCGGCATGTACACAAAACATCTCAGTTGTCCATTTTGCATGTACACAATTTCGTTGTGGCCATACTAATACCTTGCACTTCAATGAAATTTTAATATTTTGTTCAAAGTGAAATTTTTAAGCAAAATATAAGTAAATAGCTAAATTTATTTGTTTTAAATTATCAATTGTTATTATAAATGATGTAACAAAGCTATTTTATGCTTTTATTTGTAAAATAACCTCGGGTTTGTTAGAGCTTTGAGCAATATTACATTTTATATATTAGTGGCATCACCACTCTACCTCATCTCTCTATCTACCATTCTACTGTCAACCCTACTGTCGTCCTACTGTCGTTGGCAAATATAGGATAATATTGAAGTTAGCGAGAACGACAACTGTCGGCCTGCCGTCGTGTAGTCGTACAGCTGTCAAAATAGGTCCGTCCATAAGAAMGTGTGTATTTTAATATTTGACAGATGTCGTTTGCAGTCTGTCGCGAGCATTGTATTCCACACATGAGACGACAGTAGAGTTGACAGTAGAATGGAAGATAGTCGGCTATTACACGAAGCAACTTTTGTTGCTGATTCTCCGGCGATTCTCTTTTGCTGTTGCCCATTGCCCATTCACACGAGCAACTTGTGTTGCGCAACTCTGTTCGAGGTTTTTTTCTCATTCTCTTTCACTTTACTTTAACCCATGGTCAACTCTTTACTTTAACCCATTGTCGTTTCTTTTTCCTTATAGGTATTTGGGCCACTCTATCACATATATTAATCAGTACTGGCAATTAAGAAATACATTTTAATTATATTTCAAAATTAAAACAAAGGTTATATAACAGATCTTCACTATCGTCGGAATCAATTTGTATGGCTTCCTCTATACATTTTCCAATATCTTTAATTAATTCGATTTTTCGTCATACTCCATTTTCTAGAATATTTATATTATATTATGTATATTTGTATTCATATTTGCAAATTACTTACCAAAGATGAAATTAAATTTTTTAAATATTTTTAAAATATAAATTTCAAAAAAATATACGCAAATGCAACTATGCACTACGAAAGAAAGAACACGAATGCCAAAACACGTCGCAACGAACTGCTACGAATAAGAACACAAAGCGAGTTGCTGAACACTGGAAACTCATGCGCGGAACACAATGCTCGCGACAGACTGTAGCAGCACGACTGTGAACTGAAAATGGCGTTGTGAAACCTACTACAAGAACGTTTGTGAGAGGGCAGCAACATAACAATGGCCGGCATGTACACAAAACATCTCAGTTGTCCATTTTGATGTGTGGAACACAATGCTAGCGACAGACTGCAGCAGCACGACAATGAACTGAAAACRGCGTTGTGAATCCTACTACWWGAACGTTTGTGAGAGGGCAGCAACATAACAATGGCCGGCATGTACACAAAACAACGCAGTTGTCCATTTTGCATGTACACAATTTCGTTGTGGCCATACTAATATCTTGCACTTCAATGAAATTTTAATATTTTGTTCAAAGTGAAATTTTTAAGCAAAAAATAAGTAAATAGGTAAATTTGTTTGTTTTAAATTATCAATTGTTATTATAAATGATGTAACAGAGCTATTTTATGCTTTTATTTGTAAAATAACGTCAGCTTTGTTAGAGCTTCCAGTAATTTTACATTTTACATATTAGTGGCATCACCACTCTTCCTCATCTCTCTATCTTCCATTCTACTGTCAACTCTACTGTCGTCCTACTRYCGTTGGCAAATATAGGATAAAATTGAAGTTAGCGAGAACGACAACTGTCGGCCTGCCGTCGTGTAGTCGTGCAGCTATCAAAATAGGTCCGTCCAAAAGAACGTGTGTATTTTAATATTTGACAGATGTCGTTTGCAGTCTGTCGCGAGCATTGTATTCAACACATGAATGTACACAATTTTGTTGTGGCCATACTAATATTTTGCACTTCAATGAAATTTTAATATTTTGTTCCAAGTGAAATTTTTAAGCAAAAAACAAGTAAATAGGTAAATTTATTTCTTTTAAATTATCAATTGTTATTATAAATGATATAATTCAGCTATTTTATGCTTTTATTTGTAAAGTAACGTCAGGTTTGTTGCTTTGAATAATTTTACATTTTACATATTAGTGGCATCACCATTCTATCTAATCTCTCTATCTTCCATTCTACTGTCAACAGTACTGTCGTCCTACTGTCGTTGGCAAATATAGGATAAAATTGAAGTTAGCGAGAACGACAACTGTCGGCCTGCAGTCGTGTAGTCGTGCAGCTGGCAAAATAGGTCCGTACATAAGAACTTGTGTATTTCAATATTTCCTCCATTTTCGCGCTGGCACATAAAAATATGAGAATCCGATGGATTGCCGACCGAGCTTTTCAAACACGGCGGCGAAGAACTGACAAGGGACCATGCTTTGTAAAATATGGTCGGACGAAAGTATGCCCAACGATTGGAATTTAAGTGTTCCCACAGTCAACAAACTGATTGGACCTTATCAGTGTGGCTTTAGACCTGGCAAATCAACAACCAACCAGATATTTACCATGCGCCAAATCTTGGAAAAGACCCGTGAAAGGAGAATCGACACACCCCACCTGTTCGTCGATTTCAAAGCTGCTTTCGACAGCAGGAAAAGGAGCTGCCTTTATGCCGTGATGTCTGCCTTTGGTATGCCCGAAAAACTAATACGGAAATGTAAACTGACATTGAGTAACACCAAAAGCGTTCGATACCAAACGAGGTTTCAGATAAAGCGACTCCTGTCATGTGAGTTCTTCAACCGGTTTCTGGAGAAAATAATTCGAGCTGCAGAACTAAATAGAGAAGGTACCATCTTCTATAAGAGTGTACAGCTGCTGGCGTATGCCGATGATATTGATATCATCGGCCTCAACACCCGCGCCGTTAGTTCTGCTTTCTCCAGACTGGACAAGGAAGCAAAGCATATGGGTCTGGCAGTGAACGAGAGCAAGACGAAATATCTCCTGTCATCAAACAAACAGTCGTCGCACTCGCGACTTGGCTCTCACGTCACTGTTGACAGTCATAACTTTGAACAACAATGTCAGCCTAGAAATCCAACGCAGGATAACTTTTTCAAACAGGTGCTACTTCGGACTGAGTAGGCAATTGAGAAGTAGAGTCCTCTATCGACGAGCAAAAACCAAACACTATAAGTCACTCATAATTCCCCCTGCTATATACTGCAGAGGCTTGGACGATGACAACAACTGATGAGAATTAAGAAGAAGAAGAGTTAATAATAAATGAATTTTTTCGTTAAATTTTTATTGATTTTCCGAAAATACCAAGATTTCTATTAATAATTTCTCTTATTCATTTTTATTTTACTTTTTTTTATAAATAAACAAATTTCACAATCAGCTGTTTAAATGCCCAAGTCTGCCGTCTGTCACCATAAAATTTCAATACGCATGTTTCCTATTTGGAAACATGGATCCAAGGGCCTTAGTCCTGCGTCTACAGATGGCTATACGTTCGTTGCGATAGCCGCGTTGGAGGTTTAACTCTACGCACCATTTGTAGCAAATGCCTTTGCTTGGAAAATGCTCGGAAAGCTACCCACAGGTATGGAGAGTTGTGCACGTGGTCCTGCGACCCCTCGGTGTACCACCTGATTGTACTATCCCTGAGTAGTAGCTCGAGAGTGGAGTCGCTCCATTCGGCCTTGCTTCTGAAAGTGATCTTAAACTTCTTAGCGAAGTTCACCTTTTTGGCAATGCTGTCCCTGGGAAGAAGAGCCAGTGGTATGACCCCACTTAGCTCCTGACATACAGATGCAGGCGATCCTTTGCAGTTTTGATAGTTTAAGTCCTACCATCGTTTGCGATACTTTCGGAGCCCAAGGATTTACCAGCCAGCCGATTACACACCATCAGTGCCTTTGTGGCTTTGACAATGGTCAAATCAACATGCTGCTTACATCTCAACGTGGAATCCAGCGTGAGACCCATACATATATTTGACTATATTTGTCATCTCTATCTCTCTGACTACGAGTGTTAGGTTCCTCAGGCCAGGCAGAGACCTGCGCCTCGTAAACAGACGATGGTCGTCTTCAAGGGGTTGATGTTTAGTCCAACTCACCAACCCTTGACCCCTATGTACGATATCGCAGAGAGAACTCTCAAATTTGCCTCTGGCTATGATAAGAATGTCGTCCGCATATCCTTGGCAGCGGATTCCATTGTTCAAGTAATTCGTCCACGACTAGGCTCCACAACAGGGGGGGGGATAGCTCACCTCTCTGTGGGTAGCCCCTTCTAGTCCCGAGACGGATACTGGTGCCTCCTAATGAGGTTTCAGCTATTCTGGTGGGCAGTACATCCTCTATCCAACTGCGCACTGTTGGTGCTACATTCCTTTTTTCCAGTGCCCTTGCCACGCTCCCGTGAGACGTGTTGTCAAAGGCACCTTCGGTGTCTAGGAAGGCGCATAACGTCACCTCCCCAGTATCCAGTGTTGGTCAATCTGCCTGCAGGGGTGCAGTTACAAGAGCCTTCGATCTTATTTCCTGGTCCAGGATCTTTTCCATACTCTTTAGTAGGAAGGAAGTTAGACTGATCGGTCTAAAGGATTTAGCTAGTGAGTAGTCTTTCCTTCCCACCTTCGGTATCAA